TGATTGATCATGATGATTCTCTCCGGGAAATTCTCCACACACCATGGGCCCCACAGGTTGCGGGTGGGTGGGGCTGGAATGAATTAGTCAAAAATTGTGCACCATCAGGGCAAAGTGAATAGTCCCTCCACCCTGGTTCTGGAGAGCAACCAACTCAACATCGCTGAAGGAAGAAAGAGAGTTGGGAAGTACTCCCTGGCTTCGGACTCAATCACCTGGTGACAAGTGCCCTTCAAAATCTTCCTGCCCTGAGAATTCTGGGTGGGCTGGGACAGCTTTCTCAGTTCTGTGATACAGGTTCTCACTAATGTCAACCATACCTGCCCCGAGATGACTTAATTAAGCACGTCTTTAGGGGTGGGGGGTGGAGGGGGTTCAACCTGGCTGCATATTAGAATCACCTGGAGAGTTTGAAAAACTACCAAGGCCCAGGTCCCACGCCAGAGGTCCTGATTTAATTGGTCTGGGGAAGGACCTGGGCCCTGGGACTTTTTACAAAGTTCGTCAGGGGATTCTAATGCACATCCAAGCTTGCCTAGTCCTATCATGCAGCTCCTTAAAAAGAGGACCCAAGAATTCTTGTCCTTGTCCTCTGGGAGTTCATCATCTAACCAGGGACATACATGCTGTCCCTGGCATCTGGGCAGAGATCCTGGGTGTCTGTGACCTCCTTGGGTATCAGTGGCTGGGGCTGTGAGACACTTCAAAGTCAAGTCTAGAACTAGCAGACTCACCTCCTGAAGCCGCCCTTGGTTGAGTGTGCCTGTGTATGAGATTGTGTTATTGTAATAGTCCAGAGAGGTGACCTGGAAGCCTTGACCCAGATCCAGACAGTGACACCCACGAGGGAGGTTGGCAGTGAGAGGTCGCGATGTTGTGCTGTGGGAAGGGTGGACCTAGGGCTGGGTCACACAACAGAGACCTCCTCTCAAGAGGCTGTCACTGCTCGGCTTCCGCCAACATCACCATAGAGGAATGTGGGCCTGGTCTTTCAGCATCTCTCTATTTTTCAAGAGAGGTCAGAAATCTGGATTTTCTGTTTAATTACCTGATTTTTCTGAGTTGGGCTCAATTTTATTTAAACGCACACATTAAGTGGGATGACAGATGTCTGACAAAACGACCTGGCCCCCAGAACTAGAGGAAAAAGCGGACCAACTCCTTGCGTTTGGGACTAAGTGGAGATTCCCGCTCTTTGCCGGGGCCCGGGGCGAGACGCTGCGTGGTCTCCTGTCGGTCCGCTGACGCGCAGACGGGTCTCCTGTCGGTCCGCTGACGCGCAGACGGGTCTCCTGCTCTGAGGCTGCCGCTGGGAGCGGGGTCCTGGGGAGCAGGCACAGCTGTCCTGGCACAAATCAACCACCACTGTGTTACTTGTCACCTGCCGCCACTTCGGCCGCCGCATCGTGAGGTGAGGAAACCTTTGTTTCTTACGAAAGATGGCCCCTAAAGAGGCCAGCGGCTGGCATGAGGGTCTGAGGGGGAAACAGGGGAAAGAGGGTGGCTTTTGTCCAGAAAGTGGCAATGGTAGGTGGGGGACAGCGTGAGCCAGGGAGCTCAGCAGGGCTCGGCTCTCTGCGGGGACTGTGCCCCCCATGTGCTCTAGTCTCCGACAGTTAGAAAGCGGTTAGCGCGACTGTCTCAGCAAGTGCCTCGGTCAGAAACGGGTCATGGAAAGGCCAAACCTCAGAGAACGTGCGGGGATGAGAGGGGGCCGGGGGCTGGGGTGTGACGGGCACTGCCTCTGGGGAGGCTCCCAGGCTGCCTGCGGGGAAGGGCCCGCGCCGGGGTGCGCGTGTGCGCGCGTGGGTGTGTGCGTGCAGGCGGTACTAACACACCGGGAGCCCTGGGACGTGGGGCGCGCACACAGGCGGACTCAACTGGGGGGGCTACAGCAGCTCCTGACCTCAGCCCAGCTCACCTGGACACAGAAGCTCCCGCCTAGGGAAGGATGGGACAGCAGAAAGTCCCCCCCCCCAGGACCCCCCCTTTCCTGTGCATGGCTCCCTCTCAACTTGTTCACAGCTCTGCATCTCTGCCCTGGTTTTCCTTGATCGCCGTCAGTCCTGGGCGCCTTCCACTCCCTGCCCTCCCGCCCTGCCTGGCTCCTTTCTTCCCTCTGACACCATTCTGTGGCGTTGCTTCGCGCTACCCGTCTCCCCTTAGAATGTGAGCTCCAGCGGCGCGGGACGGCACCCCCTCCTTGGTGTTCTGGCAGGGCGGGGCGCACCCCAGTGCCCCAATATCTATGGAATGGCTAAGGGAGTGAAAGGGCCTGAGGTCCCAGAGGCCTCCTGGCCAGGGTCTCCGCTCTAACAGGAATTCCTCCCCTTTCCCCGGGGAACTTTCCTTGCAGGTTCCATGGACATCCCAGCTACAAGGGGGCATTTCCGCACACACCTCCACCTCACTGGTCTTTGCTGAAGCCATATGTCTGGGCCAGGGCTGTGTGGAAACAGCAGGCCCGGGCTCTACCGTTACAAGACTCACAGTCCGCAGGGGCAGAGAGGGGCTCTAGCGCTTGGTTGAGAGGCATACTCAAGCCTGGGAGCTGAGGAGTGGACTCCCAGAGCAGGCAGACGTTAGCAGCGGGGGGTGGGGAGAGCTAGGGAAGGTCTTCTTGGAGGAGGGTCAACCTAAGCCAGTCCTGGAGAAGGTAAAGTGAGGAGAACATTGCTGGGATGAAGGAAATTGCATAAGCAAGGTGTGAACAAGACAGATGCCTTTAAGCTGGAAAGCTGGTGCTGAAACTGGGACCCTAGGAGTTGGGGAGAGTGTCCTTGTCCACTGGTCACCTGGTCCAGCCCCTGCAGTGTGTAGAGAAGGAAGTGATATACCCAAGGTCACAACATATAAGTGACAAACCCAGGCCTCCTGACTCCAAAGCTGAGCCCAGCCTCCAGCCTTGAGATTAGAGCAAGGAAAGAATGCTGCCCCTGGTGGTAGGTTTAACATGTCTGATGCTTTTGGTCCGTCCTTACCCAGGTCGTCTTTGCTTAAAAAGCAGAGATAAAGAGTGCCTCCGCCTCCAGGAAGCCTCCCCCTCAGACCCTATCTTCCCACACCACCTCCATGATCTCCCTCTCACTTTGTTAGTCTGTAACATCCGTAAATGTCCCCTTGGAGGGACAGATCTGCCTGAGCCCTGGGTCCTCAGAGATTGGCACGGTGCATGTTTGTGACCTGTCCTGCTGCGTGAATGTTGTGCCAGTCCTCGCCCAGACCTTAGCCTGACTTGCTTGCATCCCCAAACCTGCCTAGGCTGCATGGTCACTCTTCAGCAACTGGCACTACTCCTTGATGATGACATACACTTCCAAAGTTGCATCTGGCTACACCTTTGGGTCTGGTTTGCAATGATTATCCCATAGGGTTCACTCTGCTGGACCCTGTACCCCTTGCAGAGCCACCCCGAGGACACCCCTACCCAGGCATCAGGAGTTCAACCTGGTTTTCCGCCACCATGACTAGCTGGTGTGGACGCAGGACCCAGGCACGTTCGCCTTTGTAAAATGACCTCGGGTTCAGGCTCAGGTGGGAACAGCAAGACAGAAGAGGCGAGAAGAGCCTGGGGAGGGGTTCGCGTTCTTGCCTCCTGAGGGTCTGGGGACACACTGGCCAGGCTGGCGCAAGGCCCCCGCCCAACCCTCCCCACAGAACATTTAAGCAGCTGAAGGACTGAACAACAAACTTTATTAGAAACACTCCTCATTCATCAGTCAAATTCACATTGAAGTGGGGGAAGGCAGTGCCATCCGGGGCTCTGGAACCCCACTGCTGTGACAATTTCCAGTTAAAAATGGGTCTGGGCAGCGAGCTTCAGAAACACATGAGAGATGCTTAATGGTGGCGGCGGCGGCGGCAGCAGCATCTCCAGGAGGGGACCGGGCTCGGAGCGGGCGGAGAAGCTGCTGTCCACAGCCACCCTGCCAGCGACAGGGCTGCCCCTGAGGCCCCAAGCTGATAAATAAACAGCACATCACACACACACTGGAAACAAACAAACTCGTACATGTCTCCTAAAGTGAAAAAATAATTCGCTCAAATAAAGCTTTGTGGCAGCTAGGCACCTCCAGGATGGGCAGTTGCCTAGAGACCCCCAGCACCCCAGGAAGGCTCACCAGCCTGAGGACATCATCTACTTGGGAGGCACAATGCCCCCAATTCCCCCATTAGCACCTTTGGACTAAGTACTGCCCTCTCACCACATTCCTCTTTTAAAATGCAGCGTGACTCAAGATAATAATAATAATAGTAAGGATACACTCTGTCCCTGGGGTGAATGAGTCAGACTCAGCTTCCCTGAATAGAGGTGCCTGGGGTAGCCAGAGAACTGTGGGCCAGCGAGGGGGTGGGGGGGTGAGGGGGATGGGACAGAGAGGGCGGTGAAGGGGTAAGTAAACAATGTTTGAAGAGGTAAGCAGGAAGGTGTCAAAACACACGGCTTTGTCCATGTGCCAATTCTGCAGTTGGGCATCCCTGGGTAATAGTCTTGCAAAGGGGCACATAGTCCTAAAGTGTCAAGGGGTGGGGGCCCAGAGGGGCACCCGCATCAAGCTGCTTTCGTCATTCATTATTCAGAGGCAATTTCTCCCCGAGCTGGCCAATTTTCCCCTGGTCCTGTCTGCACCAGGGCAAGCAATAGAAAAGTCTCCTGCCCAAACGTTTTATTCATTCTCTTGAATAAGAAGACAGGCTTTCTGATCAATACCAGGGGCCGCTGGGTCTTGGTCGGCGGGCAGGATCTCTGCTGGGCGCAGGCTCCCGGCTCTTCACAGCTTCCAAGGAGGTGCCCGACTTAGAAGGGCTGCCTCCAAGGCAGCAAGTACTGTTGGCAAGAGACATTTCGTTTTCCGAGTTGGGAACACGTCCTGGTCCTTTCAAAGAACTGAGTGTCCTGGTGCTCTGGGGTGAGGAGGAGCACCCCTTCCTGAAGGTACTGCGTGACCATGAAAAGCCAGGCCCTGCTGTATGCGGGTACCCACTGCTGCTCCTCAGCCTCACTGGTACTGCAAATAGTTTTTGAGAGATTGAGGCAGGGGCAGGGTGCTGATGTCCCGTAGGCGCTGGCGGCCCAGGGCCAAGCGGATGGATCTCCGGCACAGGTCCATCAGCGGCAGGGGCTCGGCTGCAACGAGAGGGGAGTGGTTAGTCTTGCTGGTGCCTTGCACACCTGCTCGTCCCCACCTACCCTCTGCCCACCACTGGCGCACCTGCTCCTCAGAGCTGACCTTCAGGGCCTGGGGCTCCTCCTCCGAGAAGCCGCCTCTAGTTATATTAGCTGAGGGCTTAGAGCAGTGTTTTTTAAACTGTGGGAAGTAACCGGTTAGACTAAAGAATGGTGAAATCAGTTCCTTGGACTGTGACCAGCAGTTGAAAAGAGAGAAAGAAAGAAGGAAAGAAAAAGAAAGAAAGAAAGAAAGAAAAGAAAAGAAAAGAAAAGAAAAGAAAAGAAAAGAAAAGAAAAGAAAAGAAAGAAAGAAAGAAAAAGAAAGAAAGAAAAAGGAGAGAGAGAGAGAAAGAAAGAAAGAAAGAAAGAAAGAAAGAAAGAAAGAAAGAAAGAAAGAAAGAAAAAGAAAGAAAGAAAAGAAAGAGAAAATGAAGAGCAATGACCATAGCAAGGGTAAATATCATTCCATGAAAACTTTGTCTCTGATGTGGATGTTCAGTGTGTCTCAGTGGAAAAAAATACTTCTCGCTGCAGATCGTGATAAAAATGAAAGTCTCTGAACTAGGAGGGGATCTGCAGGGGGCTTCCTCCTAGAAACAGGTTAGACTTAGGGAGGCTGTTTGAAATTCCTTTGAACCCTCACACTTCTCCTGTAGTGTTTTTTGATGATCAGCAGAGGGATGCATTTTCTTCTAATATCCAGTTCTGGAAAAAATTCATGAATTAAAATCCATAAGCCATAGAACCTCTGGATGTAGGACCAAGTTTAGTTAGTTTTACTGCAGACATGTTGATTAAGCTCTTACACTCTTCCAGGCCCTCTGATTGGACCCAGGGATACAGAGATAACAAAGCCAAGGCCAGAGGCAGCCCTGGAAGTAGAGGAGGGCTCGTGGACCCAAATTAAAACAGGTGAATAATCCGAATAGAGTATAATATGCGCAATAATTCTTAAATGCACAGGGGACAGAAACTGGGTGGTTCCTATGGAAGAACTGTTTGAAAGCTTCAAAGAGGATAACTGAATGAGGTTTTGAAGGGTGAATAGGAGTTTTATGTGATGTCAGGGAGGAGGGTATTCTAGGCCAAGAGAACAGGCAAAGGCAGAGAAGCGTAAGACAGGACAGGCTGGGAGGTCTAGAGAGAGAGGAGTGGTGCTGGTCTGCTGGACCAAGAATGAAGATGGTGGTGCTTACAGTTGTCTCATCTGGCTTGTACAGGCCTAGTTTCCCCAAGCCAACAGGAACATGCTAGAGGTCTGAAGCTGCATCTTCCCACTTCTTTTTTTTTTTTTGATAAGAGAATAAGTGATAGTTTAAAAGCATTCTATAATGTACTAAGATGCAATCAAACTGTAAATAGCAAATACTAATGCAAGAGCTGTGAGAAGAATAATATCATAAGGGATGAGAAAGTGGTCAAGAGTGTGTTTTATGGAAATTTTCATTTACTACAGCTGCAGAGTTCATGTGGAGAGCCATTAGAACTAAGGCAGGACTTGGCTGGTGCCCTGGAAGGCTCACACCAGAGCGTGTCCCGCTCTCCTTCACCTGAGGTGAGGCTGCACGGTCCCATATCTGCACAGGGTACTGGTGGCTTTAAACACTCTCCCCTCTGTATCCTCTTGTGATCCTCACAAGGATGGCCACTGTTGGCCAGGGAGGACTGGTCATCCTGTTTTTCAAGCCCAGAAAACAGACTGCTCATCCCCAGGCACATGGTCACAGAGTCACCATGCCTAGACCAACCCTTGACACCCCTCTTAACGTGCCCCCACCCTCCTTCAGCTGTACCCCTGTACCCAGCTTTCTTTCTCCCTGTGCCCCACCTGGTTCTGATTCAGGCTTTGCATTGCTCCCCAAATCATGCCTCTGTGAACAACCCCCCTCCCAAACCCAAATCCTCATCTAAGTGTAGTTACATTTTTATTTATATGTTTTGTATTCGAGTATTGCTGACACACAATGTTACATTAGTTTCAGGTTAATTGTAGTTACTCTTTATTGAAGACTCATTATAGGGGCACCTGGGTGGCTCAGTCGATTAAGCGTCTGCCTTCGGCTCAGGTCATGATCCCAGGGTGTTGGGATCCAGCCCCATGGTGGGTTCTGTGATCAGCCAGGAGTCTGCTTGTCCTTCCCTCTTCTTGTGCTCTCTCTCTGTCTCTCTCTCAAATAAATAAATAAGATCTTAAAAAAAAAAAAGACTTATTATGTGGTCAGGTGCTGTCCTAAGCTATTTGTAGCTGCTCACATGCATGTAGGTATCAAACTCATATCACAACAACCCTTTGGGGTAGGATTATTATTACGATTATTACTATCATCCCCATTTTAAGGAGGAGGAAACTGAAACACAAAGAGGGTGAGTCACTTGCCCAAGGACACATAGCCGAGAAGGGCCCGAGCCAGGAGCTGGTCCCCACGCGTGGCATGTTGGCAGGACATGGGTGGGCGCCATGCACAAGGCGTACCGAGCGGAGGTGTGCTCTTCTTCCACTTAGACAAATGTGGCAAGGATTTTCAATCCTAGCCATTGAACAATGAATGGGTACAAGGCGTCTATAAGCTTCTTAAAGGACATGACCCTGACTCACCTGTCTTAGGACCTACAGGCCTCAGTCTGCACCCATCGCAGGGGGATGGCCCAGAAACTGTCTATTAAATGAACGAGCTGATGTTCTGCTCCTGGGTGTGTCTTCTCCAGAGGTTTTAAGCAATTGGAATAAATTAATCTTGCCTGGCAGCACTCTCCTATAAATACCCTGAGAACAGGGCAGGTTTTAATTGACAAGAGGCTTGTGGTGAGGAGTCAGTGAGCTAGAAAGTGTAACGTACTTAGCACAGTGACCGGCACATAGTCGGTGCTCACCATACGCCACTTCCAGCTCCCTCTCCTTCCCATCCGGGCACTTGCGTGGTTGCCCTTGGGGAGGATAAGCTTGGGGATGGCTGGTAACAAGGTAGGCTCTGTCTGGGAGGCCAGCAGCAGTTCCTTCTCCAAGTGAGGGGAGATGGGCTGGCACTTGGCATCAGGAAAATTTTGAGCTGATAATCACTGCCAGATCTTGAGAGCTTTCTTAAATATTTTAAAGCTCTAGGCACACATTAGGTCCTCAATGCCCAAAATGCCAAGCCTTTTCAGCAAACCCAATTCCCTGTGTGTTTCCTGCCTAGTTAGGAGCTGGGGAAAAGGGAAGATCTCTGTTCATGGTCACTCCTCTGCAGTCATGGAAATCAATCCAGAGCCCGATTCTATAAAGGAAGCGAGAAGGGGGGGGCAGATGGGGTTCAGGGCACGTCTTTAGCTCTAAGTGTGATATAAATCATCTCTTCTCATTATTTGAGAGACCTTTACACTGACAGAGGCAGAGCAGTGCCAAAGCGCACAGGGCAAGTCCTCACTGCGGCTGTGAAACTTCCCAAGATCTGGGGATGCCCCGTGTCAGCTGGGCCCACCCTCTGATTCCTCTTTCGGACTCCCCTTGGCTTCAGATCCCTTCTTCAAGCTGCCACAAGCTGAGGCTTAGAAATGATCAACCAGGTGGCAAGAGAAACAAGGGATCTTTCAGCACAGGAGCCATTTTTGGAAATGTTTGCCAACTAAAAAATGAAAAAGGAATCCTTGTTCCCCAGAAGTGAATATCCAAATGGCCAATGAGTCCATGAAAAAGTGCTCAACTTTATGAATCATCGGAGAAGTGCAAGTTAGTGCCATGAAGTGACTCTACTACGTGCCAACCCAAATGGCCAAAATGCAAACAAGACATTAGCAAGTGCAGACAAGGATGTGGAGCAACTGGAACTCTCATAATGCTGAAAGCATGCAAGAGGGCACAACCACTCCGGGAAACTAAAGCTGAACCTCTGGCCTGCAGTTTGAGTTCGGGTGCACACAGGTGTACCAAATGCATGTGCACGCATACCCACAGTAGCATTATTTGTAAAAGCACAATCTGGAAACAACAGTTCTGCGGTCCACCAACAGTGGACTGTACACATAAATTATGTCTCTTCATACAGCGGGACACTAATCAGCCATGGGAAGGAAGGACCCACAATGACATGCAAACACGTGGATGAATTACAAACACAATCGTGAGCAAAAGAAAATTACACCTTGTGTGTCTTCACTTATCAGGTTCTGGAGCTGGGATGGTGAAGTGAGGGCAGCGCTGATACTGGGCAGGAGGTGATGAGGAGGGGCAGGAGGAAGCTCCTGGGGGGGGGGGGTCAGACATTGTTCTGTTCTTTGAGTTCTGGCTATACTAGTGTGTTCAGTTGGTAAAAACCATCAAGCTTAGTCCCCTGAGATTTGTATACTTTCTGCCTATTTATACTTCAAAAACACATTTACAGCAAGAAAAATAAAGTCACTGGCTGGTTGGGAGGGCCTCTACCCCCTGCTGGGGGGGTGTGGATCCAACACAAGCCAGGCATCTCTCCCCACCCCCAGCCCCAACGGGGTAAAGTAGGGAGAAGAGGTTGGCGTGGAGTCCCTGCTTCTGCTCCCACCCCCAGTGGGCCAGACAGTTGGCTCACCTTCTTGGAGCCACATTTTCCTCCTCTGTAAATTAGGGGATAGCAACATCTCCATCTGCATGTTGTGATGGTGGTATGACACCACATGCTCTTGCCTTAGAGGCACTCTCTCCACAGTATGTCTTATTTCAGGCCACCGGCCCAAAGAGGTACCTTTAAAATAGTAATAATTTACTTATTGTGGTTCTAAAAATTGCTCAGTACATCATCCTAATTGACAACAACGCTCTGCTCTTGATGAAGATTTATTGGAGCCGGGGCTGAATGTCTGGTTCCATGCTAAAAATACTCCAAAGCAGCCATCGCCAAGGTTCTATGGTGACCCAAATTTTCCATAATTCTCCACCAGTAACCTCCTGTACAACCAACCCCAAGTAAGCCACAGGACTTCCCAGGGACTCTGTTTTGCTGTCAATA